TCTGCGTGTCAGCATTTTGAAAAACCCTAACTTAACTCTGGTGCCGTGTCACATATAGAAATTTTTTGATATTTGCAACCATAGTAAAACAAAGATTTATATTTTTGATATTTATTTTATATATTTAAATGCCATTTAACAAAGAAAAATCAACCAAAAAAATGAGTTCGCGTATCACCTCTGACATGCGTGTCATAGGTTCGCCATCACTGGGCTAAACCTTAGCAGGAGGGGTAAGAAATAGTGCACACTGGGAAGATGAAAGAAGTTGAAGGGCCAAAGACAGGACCAAGTTTTGATCAGCTGCCTCCTGCACCGTCCCCACTCGGGTTGGAGCCCACAACCCCGGCATGTACCCTAACTGCGATTAGTACCCTGACCTGCTGGTTCATAGATCCATGCTCAACCACTGAGTCACACCCATCTGGCTTTTCCTGAAAGTTTTGAAGATTTGGAACAAATATTTAGGAAACAATTTCAATTGTCTAACTTTTAACGTCTGATATATTTTTTTAAGTGTTAAGTCTTACAATTTTTTATGGTACATTGTGCTTGATTTTTGAAGCTCACGCAGGCTTCAAAGATCCCTGACTTCTAAGGCTCTCCCACCATCTGGTGGCAATATTGCAAATTGCAAATGTTTGTCGAAGCTGCATTCCTCAAACGTTTATTATGCTCATCACCTGGACAGGTATTGATTGAAAAGACAAGTAAAATGTGTACTATATACATACAAGAGTCTATGACAAATTTGGGACATTTTACTAACAAAGTTAAATAACGCTACTACAGCAATTATGAAATCATGAAATTTAAGTCAACACATTTAAGATAACCGCTATTTTGACAGTATTTTTTCGTTTATAAGACACCCCCGACTTTCCAACCCAAAATTAAGAAGTCAATATTTTAAACATTTGGCCGGTTTTCCTCTTAAGGCCTTCTTCTTTTTTGGCATCTTAAGTTGTTCTTCTTTTTTTCTCCACTGTCTGATCATACACTCAGTGGGAAGAGGTCCAAATTGTCTCTCTGCAGCTCTATTTCCAGGCTCTTTTGCATAGCTGAAAGACAATCGCTTACCGGTATTTATGGGCTCAGAACGCTGAGGTCCGTTGCATCTGTGCACTCTCCACCTCCACCTCCAATTAGGGCATCAGCTGACGTCAGTAACAATAAGGCTCGTGATTGGAGGAAGCCTGTTTGACAAGGTATGGGCAGCTAAGCACCCGCAAGGCTCCCTCAATTTCAGTCTAACGATTTTAGAAAAAAAGTCTTATACACAGAAAAATACGGTAATCTCTTCCAATAACATATTTGCATAGTTAAGTTCTTACTGTACATAAAATTTGGAGTCTTGTTTTATGAACTTAATGTTTCCTAAGTATTGTCTAAATTCCTTAAGTAAATCTTTCCTAACAGTTTGATACCACACAGTGCTGGCCAAAACACACTCTTGCATGTAAAATTATCTTTGTAAAGAAAAATTTGCCCATGTCATCCAAATGTTAGATGCACCTATCTTTTGACCCAACATTTCCATGTTGAAGAATTCGCCCTCCAAATATATTCCATGTGCAAAGTGAAATATGTATGCAGTTAGTTATTCATAGTAGCATGGTTATTCTAGCAGAGATTTAAAGCAACGAAATGTCCATCCATTAAGAATTGCCTCGCCCGACTGGCATGACTCAGTGGTTGAGCATCAACCTGTGAACCAGGGGATCACAGTTTATTTCCAGGCTGGCGCACATGCCCAGGTTGTGGGTTCGATCCCGTGTGGGGCATGCAAGAAGCGACCAATCAATGATTCTCATCACGTTTCTTTCTCCCTTCTCTGAAATCAAAAATTTTTAAAAAGAATTGCCTCAATATATGGACATATCTTTTTTAAATTATTTGGCCTTGGAAGGAACTAAGTGGAGACATGAGCCTAGGCTGGCTTGCTTTGGCTCACTGAGTCAGAGAAAAGGGGGCCTTGTGGACAGGTTCAGGGGGTTTATCTGGGAGGAACTGCTGCTGCCAATTGCTGCCCTGGTTGCAAGCCTCCAGTGAGGATTTAAAAACAGAAAACGAATTTAGTCCTAAAAGCCTCTGCCTGGTTAGGGTTAGGTTAGTGTTGTTTATGGTTAGGGTTAGGCTATGGCACTTTCCGTCCTCCCCCCACATTCTGAGCATCCATACTTACTAGGCAAAAATTAGTCCAATTCTCTTTATTTTTTTAAATATATTTTTATTGATTTCATAGAGGAAGGGGGAGAGAAAGAGAAACGTCAATGATAATCATTGATCGGCTGCACCGAGCCCGCAACCTGGGCATGTGCCCTTGGACCAGAATCGAACCCAGGACCGGTCAGTCCCCAGGCTGACTCTCTATCCACTGAACCAAACCAGCCAGGGCCAATTCTCTTTTTTAAATGAATCTAAGGCACGGGGATGAATATCCAAGCCTCTGGTCAGCCTGAGGACCCTTGTTACCACACTGGGCTAGAGATCTTCAGCCGAAAGCAGACCCTGGTATTTTGGGTCAGGCCCGTGGCCTGGCTAGGGGAAAGGTACAACCCCCACTCAGCTTTTAGAACTAAAGACAGTCCATGATTGCCGACTATTGCAAGCTCAAGGACGGCACTAGCCTGTGGTGATCCTCTTCTGAGAACAAGGTGCAGGTAGCGTTCCTGAATACCTACTGTGTGCAGTGCACATTGCTAGGAGTTTCACAAGTGACCTCACTGAATCCTCATGACCGTGGGGCGTCCGGATTACCAGCCCCTGAGCAGATGGGGACATGGACGATCAGCAGGTGGGGTGGCCCACCTGGGATCACACTGCTGGCTGGAGGCAGAGGCAGCATGACACCCAGTCCATGGCAGACACTGCAGCCTGGCCCCTCCCTCCCACACAGCCAGAAGTGGAGAGTAGCTGTTCAATTAGTGTTCAATGAATCCAAAACGAATCTGAACATGCCCAGAGAAGCCATCACATTAAAGGCTGCAATTTTAAATTACAGGTGAAGAACTTGAGGGGAAGAAAAGCAGAAAGTCAGTTACATGTATCTATGTTGCTGATCCTCTCAAGTCCATCCCTATCCTGACCTTTCCCATCTCATTCCCCAGCTTCCCCACCCCATGCCAGTCAGGCTCTTCTGTGCTGCCACCCCATCTTAGCTCATGCTTTGCAGGCTATGGGTCATGCTTCCTCCTGCTCATCACCACTCCCTTCTCCAGTCCTCAGTGTCTTCCCACTTCTTGAACTTCTAGAACTTGTCAACTTTATCACAAACTAGCCCTTAATAACATGATATATCCTTATGTTCTCTAATTTCTGTTCCTCTTGGACATTTTACCTCCCCAAAATCTCAAAGCACCTCAAGAGAGATCTTTCTCATGTATTCATTGATGAGACAATGATGGAGCCAGTCAGAGAATTCAATGAACTCTCTCTGATCCTCAACAACAAGATGTTTTATTTCATTTCCCATTGTCTGATCCCTCCCATCCAGGAAAGAGGTGTAAACCTGGCAGGGGTTCTGACCAGCTAGCTAAAGCCAGAGGAGACCCTGGGACCAGAGCCTGGTCAAGCAGAGGCTGTGGTCCGAAAACACCAGAGGGCAGGAGAAAGCTGTTATTCAATTTGCCAAGTCAATGAATTTCTGCTTAACCAAATATAAAGCACTCTAGAATCTGCAAAGAACTTAGCTGTGAATTATTTAAGCCTACTTAGATTGATAAGTCAAATAAAATAAGCAACGAAGCAATGCTTACCAATTCCTCAAAGCAATCTCAGTTCTTTTAAAGGAACCATTCAAACTACAGAAAACCACCAAGCAATATGGAACCTTTATTTTTAAGGTGATTCTGTACATCTGGAGCATGAGAGTAAACCTTTTACAAATGGAACTGATTACTAGAAGAAACAATGACAAAACCAAGCTGGTATTTGATGTGAATCCATAGGGGTGGAAGCTTCAAATCCAGCCAAGAAGTTTGTTACAATTTCTTTCAGCTTTGCATCTGACTGTTCTGAGATCTTTCCGTCAGTCCTGTTTGGAAATAAAAGGAGATCATTAGTTCTGACCTGGACAAAAAGTCAATGACTAGGCTAACTACAAAATACAAAAGAAATTTAGCAAGACTTCATGCAATTGTGTTCATACCTGATACTGCCCAACAGGGCTTGGTGTTGGCTGATAACATGAGACAAGAAAGCACTCTCAAACTTTGTGATCTTGCTGGGCTCCAGTTTGTCAAGATACCCTCTTACACCGGCATAAATGACAGCCACTTGCTCTTCAATAGCCATGGGAGCTGAAGAGAAACAAAAGGATGCCAGTGAGTTGTTCAAATAAATACCATGTTACCAAAGTCAGAGAAACTTACTTTTCCCTCCATTAACAAGTTTCTTCATATCACTTATTCTCACGTTCGCAGTGAGAAACTCCACCCCACCTCCTCCCCAGGAAACAGTGATTTTCTTATATTTGCAAGTCCTGAAGTATAATATTAGGGCATTCTCCACAAACACTGTTTATCATCTGGCAGCATTTAAATTATTTTGGTTATAAATAATTTGCTGAATTTTTATAACAAGTGAATAACATGCTTTTAAATAGGACAAATTCTACACTCATATAGTAGGGCGTGAGGAGCATCTAGTAAGTCTTAATTCCCCCAAAAGTACTAAACATAGTAAGTTTTGCTGGTTATTAAGTCTGTAGCATTTCCATTTAAATGATAAAGACTGTCTGTACTTTGATTAAATAAACAAGGCATCAACTGCATTCAAAAGGCAGTACCGCTGATGAGATAACAGCATGTATTACAGCTTGTAGGAAGCTATGTCATATTCCCACATAGTAGGAACTTGACCAAATAAAGAGAACAACTCACAATACTGTCCTTGCTTCAGCAATTCAGTCAGACGTACACCACGACTCAAGAGTTGTTGAGTGGCAGCATCAAGATCAGAACCGAACTGAGCAAAAGCAGCAACCTCACGATACTGAGCCAATTCCAGCTTCATGGTACCTGCCACCTGAAATACAGAATTGGTTAACTCATACTATACAAAAATACTTCACTCAATGACACAGAGCACTATACAAATACACTTTGGTTTTAACCTAATGATACCTCTCCCCAAAAGTGATTCAAATTACCTGCTTCATGGCCCTGGTTTGGGCAGCAGATCCAACACGGGACACAGACAAACCAACGTTGATGGCAGGGCGAATACCTTTGTAGAACAATTCTGTTTCCAAGAAGATCTACAATGTAAGGACAATGCACATGCTAGCAAACTTAGAAATCAGCATTTCAAAATTAAGACACTGTGCTGAAAAACTGAAGCCCAAAAACACCGAGGAAGAAAATACTAAATGGTATCTTATGGTAAATAGCTCCTCAAATCTTTCACAACCCAAATCAACCTACATATTTCACTGCTGAGATTGGGAGATGTGCATAACATGAAAAAAAAAAAAAAGGTTAACGTTTTATTAAAATACTAGAGGCCCAGCCCCAACCACTTGCCTGTCTGCCTGATCGCCCCTAACCCTTCTGCCTGCCTGCCTGCCTGCCTGCCTGATCAACCCCTCTGCCTGCCTGCCTGATCGCCCCTAACCGCCTATGCCTTGGCCCCGACCGCTGCGGCTTCGTCAGGAAGGACATCTGGAAGGTCGTTCGGCTGTCCATTCTAATTAGCACATTATGCTTTTATTATTATAGATATGTAGGTGAAGTGAAATGATTTCTGGGATTTGCTCAAAATTATGCAGGGGAAGGATAGCAGGGGTATAAATGAAGCAAGAAGTACTCCATACTATAAATTGATATATGGGGTTTTGCTATACTATCCTCTTTACTTTTGCATACATTTGAAATTTTCCATAATAAAAAAGTAAAATCAGTTCAGAACTACTATTTTCAACCAGTACATTGGAATCACCCTAAGCTTTTACATTTACATTAAGCATAAGAATAATACCTGTCCGTCAGTGATGGAAATGACATTCGTTGGAATGTAAGCAGACACATCACCAGCTTGTGTTTCTATGACTGGCAGAGCAGTCAAGGAGCCACCACCAAAAGAATCGTTCATTTTGGCTGCTCTCTCTAGCAGACGGGAGTGTAGGTAGAACACATCACCAGGATAGGCCTCACGACCAGGGGGTCGGCGCAGCAGCAAAGACATCTGACGATAAGCAACAGCCTATAGTACAGAAAGGGGTTAGGAAATCCACCTATTAGACAGAAGCTACATTTGGTCAAATAGTGCAAACATACAAACAGAGTCTAAAAATACATTTATTTTGACCTGTTTGGATAAGTCATCATAGATGATCAAAGCATGTTCGCCATTATCCCTGAAATATTCTCCCATAGAACAGCCAGATAAGGAGCCAGGTACTGAAGTGGGGCAGTATCAGAAGCGGTAGCTGAAACCACAATGGTGTACTTCATGGCATCTGAGAAAAACACAGATTTGTTTTACAAGGTTATTAATATTGTGATTTCTAAAGTAGAGGCTACTGTAATAAAAATTATCTAAATGCTTTACTAAGTGATTTACTACTAAGATTAATCTGAGTCAAACAGCTTCTACTTTAAAGAAAATGATAAAACCTTAACTTAGTTTTATGCTAAATTTTTACATTTACTTTTCTTTTATGTATTGACTATATCAGTATAGAGTTCATTAGAGAGTAATTAAAATCAGCCTTCATTAAGTAGACTTTATCCTAAGATTGGCAGCTATAGGGCTCCCAGGTAACAGCAATGGGACTAAAGTTCTTTAATACCTGCATCTGTAAGTCTCTTCACCAACTGGGCAACAGTGGATCTCTTCTGACCAATAGCAACATAGATACAGTACAGCTTCTTCTTTTCATCAGTTCCCTCATTGAAACGTTTCTGGTTAATGATTGTGTCAATAGCAATTGATGTTTTGCTTTAAAAAGCGAAAGTAAACATAAATCTTAACTAAATGTTTCAAAGAATTCCCCAATTAAAATTTCACTACAACTAACCCACACATCAAATTTTATTCTCCCCGTTATATCCAAAGCTTTTACCATTCCAACACTATAATCTTTTCATAGAGCCAATTTTAGTTAGAACTTTTAACAAGCTACTGAGTCTTTACCCAGTCTGCCGGTCACCAATAATCAGCTCACGCTGACCACGACCAATGGGCACCAAGCTATCCACAGCCTTAATGCCAGTCTGCATTGGTTCCCGCACAGAGATTCGAGGAATGATCCCAGGGGCTTTCAGGCCAACTCGCCTACGGGTCTTGGAACCAATTGGACCCTGTTGATAAAAAGGAACCCCAGAACAATCAGTCTTGATATTTGTTAGAAACTACAACCACACCAAAAAGGAACTACATCTAATGAATGATAAACCTACCTTCCCATCAATGGCATTACCAAGGGCATCTACTACGCGACCCAACAGCTCCTCGCCAACAGGAACATCCACAATGGCTCCTGTTCGCTTCACAATATCTCCTTCCTTAATGAGTTTATCATTTCCAAACACGACAACACCCACATTGTCAGGTTCCAAGTTCAGAGACATACCCTACATAAAAGACAAGTGAACACCAATGAAGCCCAAGTGGCTCTTCTCCCCACATACCAACACTACATGATATGAAGCTATAGAGAAAAAAAGGCAGTATTGTTCTTTAGATCTGGTTTACTCCTAAGTATTTTTCTAATAAACAATCTTCTTTGGTTAAGACTTTTAAAATAGCGCCTTGGCCAGATAGCTCAGTTGGTTAGAGCCTCATCCCAATATGCCAAGGTTGCAGGTTTGAGCCCTGGACAGGGCATATACAGGAGTCCACCAATGAATGCATAAATAAGTGGAACAACAAATTAATGTTTCTCTAAAAATCAATAGATAAAATTTTAAAAAAAGGACTTGCTTCTTATCACATCCTCAAAGAGCACATGGAAGGAAAGAAATTGAACATGGTAAATTTTTCCACTGCATTTCCTTTGACCATAGCTTTTGAGCTGGGTGATCAATATGAAATAGTGATCAAGGGCAATTGGAAATTTTAAGACATAGCTGATTTACATCTTTTGATATATAAGAAGCTCCATAAACAGTTTAACTATCTAATGAGAACCTCTACTTGTCTGGTTAATGGAAAGTGAAATTAAAAGCTACCCAATCAAGATCAAATCTTCATAATAGTACTGGGTCATCTGTCATTACAAACATTTCAAGATGTTAAGATTTTATAGCCCCTAAATCAAATCAAAAAGGCTATTCCAGGAACTCAGTCTGGTCAGTGATGTAAGATCTGGTGTAGCTATCATAAGCTCTCTGATGATATACGTCCACTTCTTTGTACTAGGTTGAGCCTAGAATACAGAGGAATATCGTAGAATATTATTGGAGGTACTGAATCTTTAGTCTAAATCTGATTTCAATATAGGTCACTAACCACATGTGGCTTCTTAAATTTAAACTCAGTCAAATTTATAACTGTGGTCCCTTAGGTCACACCAGCTACCTTTTACATGCTCAATGGTCTCATACATACACTAGTTACCATATAAACAGCACAGACATAGAATATTTCTGACATTGCAGAAAGTTCTATTGGACAGTATGGGCTAAGACTCTTAAAAGCTAAAAGGAGACTTGAGAGCTCATTAATTGAAGCCTAAGCTTCAAAGACATATAAGACACACACACTAAAAATAAAAGAGGTTAACTTTTTAGACACTGATCAAACTTTTGGCCCTACAATTTGCCTTGTACATTAAGTGGCTCTTTTTCCATACTAGCAAGAGGACCGAGACGATCCTTTCCCCTATTTGTGTACTACTGCCCCTGGTCCATCTAGACATCAGGCTCTGCTTTCCTCAGAGAACTATGACTCCTACAACTTTTAATTCTCACCCCATTGGCCAACTAGGCTCAACCTAGTCGAAAAAAATGGGCTTACATCATCAGAGAACTTGTAATAGCGACACCAGCAACTCGCCTCTCACCAAGAGATCTATTCTTACTAGAAATTCAAAGTCAGTGACTTTGAACTTTCCACCAGAAATGAATTTATTAATTTTATTAATTTAATTAAATGAGTTTAATTAAAGTTATCAAATGCTTTTATACAAGATGATCTTCACAGCTACAAAGAACAGACTTGAACTTCTTAGAATTTGGGTGAAGATTTACTAAAACTATGTACTTAGGAGCTAATGGCTATGAATTATGTGTAAATAAGTTTCTAGAGTGAAAACCCTTAAATATATTTTCACAATCTATGACACTGACCACAAAAACCCTGAGGCAGATTGAGATTTAAAATAACAAAACAAAAAAAACTGACATAATCTGATTTACTAAATGAATAACTAAATGAAGACAACAACCCAAAACAGCAAAATACTATTTTATAATTTACCTTTAAGCCTGAAGAAAACTCTACCATTTCTTCTGCTTGAACATTCCTCAGCCCATGTACTCGGGCAATACCATCACCAATACTTAAGACACGCCCAGTCTCTTCAAGGTCAACAGAGGTATCAGCTCCAAGAATTCGCTCTTCAAGAATAGAGGACATCTCGGCAGTGCCTATTGAGAGCAATTCCATTACAAATAATAATCTGGCCCCAGTTTCTTTTCAAAACCTCTTTGCATAACAACATGAATAATATAGTTTGTGATCACAATGATCAAATTATACTCCAAAAAGCAATAAATGTAGTTCTATTCAAAAAAGCATGAGATCTATGAAAAAGAACCCAAGTGATTCAGAGAAAATTTCACAAGACAGATAAAAAACTAATAAAATTAAAATATCCTTAAAATAAACTTGCAAGGGCAAATTCATAGATAGCACCTAATGCCTTTGAAAAACATAGAGGTTAAAAACTGCCTACTTTTTGTAAATTTTTTTAGGAGAGGAAAAAAAAATCTTTCATAGATCAGAAAGTGTGTCCACCACCTGACATGTGCACATTCTGTTTCCACCCAACGGGACATTATCAGAACAAAGAAGCTGTACTAACATCAAAAGAGAAATATATAAAACTGTACTTCATTTCACTAGAACAAGCAAACCTACCAACATAGGACTAAATGGCACATTGTGGGTTAAGAATCTGAGGTTCTGCCAGGCAGGTGTGGCTCAGTGTCGACCTATGAACCAGGAGGTCACAGTTCAATCCATCCATGTCAGGGCACATGCATGGGTTTCAGCTCGATCCCCGGTAGGGGGTGTGCAGGAGGCAGCCGATAAATGATTATCTCTCATCATTAATGTTTCTCTCTTTCTCTCCCTTCCTCTCTGAAATCAATAAAAATATATTTAGGAAAAGAAAAAAAAATCTGGAGTTCCACAGTAACTAAAATTGAGAGGAAAAAATTAACAAAATAGGGGGAAAAAGCCTGCAACAACTATGTAACTTATCTTTCGTTTAATGAGAAGGTAGTAAGTGTGGTGTAGATTTAGAAATAATGACTCACCAATCTTCTGAAGATGGGTGTTAGAGGCATGGAGATTCCTTGTAGCAATGAAGGATGATCCCAAAGCATTTTTGGAGACCTAGGGCAAAAATGTATTTTTTAAATCTGATTTTTAAAAAGGCCTTTATAAAACTGGCTAGCTTGAATGCAAGCTTAGTTTGATCAAGTTATCTGTTAAGATATTAATTATACACACAATATTTTGCTTAAAATTGGAAGACTTTAAACAGATGAAGAAACACTTTTTTGATATGTAAAAACCTATTTGCAGTTCCTGGAAGTATAGTAACAGTTCACAAAGCATCTTTCCCTTTAAAGGTATCAGGCACTATTATTTTGACTTTAGAGATATTTATATTAAAAAACAAAACAAAAACAATCAAGAGCCCAGCCAGCGTGGCTTAGTGGTTGTGCATCCACCTAAGAACCAGGAGGTCACAGTTGGATTCCCGGTCAGGGCACATGCCCGGGTTGTGGGCTTGGTTCCCAGCGTGGGCGTGCAGGAGGCAGCCGATCAATGCTTCTCTCTCATCACTGACGTTTCTATCTCTCTCTTCCTTCCTCTATGAAAGAAAAAAAAATATTTGTTTTTAATCAAGAAAACAAAAAAACTGTCAATGTTGAAATGTGATTAGAAACTATGCTGCCAGCGGTTGGGTTAGGGCAGTATGTCTATTTCACCCTTCAAATTGAGACTACCTTTAAGATGGAAAAAGTAAGTAAATGTAAAAGCGCTAACACAGGATTTAAGTAAAGGTTATGTACTTATCTGAGAGAGAGAGAGAGAGAGAGAGAGAGAAGTAGTGAAGGGCATTGACCTTCACAGGCATTTTCCAACCTCTGCTCTATTTCCCTCGAGTCCCCAATCACTGTCTAACAATTCCTCACGGACGGAAGCTTAAAACCTGTCAAAGTGCCGCCACACACGCTCTCCTGCTAGACGGGACCGTGCCGCAGCGGAAGCCCTGCCATGGTCGCGGTACCGGCCGCAGGAAACGCACACCCGCACCTGTGCCGGGTCTTCGCGATGCTTTCGGGGTTCAGCACTGAGAGGCCGCCCACCCAAGAGTTCAGGACACGCCCTTCATGTGCTGCTCTCCTCTGAACTGACCTCCGGGCAGGGTGAAATGCCGGGGCCCGCTGACCTTCACCGGCCGGGGTTCGCCGCTCGCTCTGACCTTCAGCGAGGGAGTCCGGGGAATCGGCGGGGCCCGGCCACCCCGTTTCGGCCCAGACTTCCGACAGCTGGCGCCCAGGCCCTGACCTTCACCCAAGGCCCCTCGCGCGCCGCTCTCAACCGAAGAAGGGAATCCTCCTGAGGCCCCATCCCTGGGCGGCATCAAGATCACTGTGCCCCCTGCACCACTCTGCACCATCTCGCACGGATGGCGAACACAAGGGCCTTTCCGCCGCCCTCCTGCCCGCCGGAGCAGCCAGCAGTGCAAGATGGCGGC